CCACTTGGTAAATGTTCCTCTCACTTTTGTCACAGCTGCGCCACGAGGTATTTCTGTTGCGCTGGTTTCATGTGATTAAATAGTTATTACTTGCTAAAGGTCTGTTATTACTGGCGAAAGGTCTGTTAAATTTGGAGAGGTGGAGGCTCATCCTCAGCCCTGCTCATTACACCTTTTCTCTAAGGAAAAACCTTGCCTGACCCCAAGCCCTTGCTTCATCTACCAAAAGGGCAGTGGCTTCATTGCCAAATGGAACGGTGGGAGCACATTTTAAATGTCAGAATCAACAGGAAAGACACATTTGCATATTTCACAGATGGCTCATCAGGTCCTTCACCATCTTACAGCCAAAGCAGACAAGATGGGGAAGCCACCTTTGCATTGTCGCATGTCTGCCTTGTTGATGAGTGAAGTGCGTGCTATTTTTAGTGGAAGGTACATACAGAGGGTACATCTGGTCCAGCATTCTGTTCACAGGGTAGCAACCGGCTGGGCCTGGGTGCAGCAATACCCTCTCGCCAGGGCTCCCCAGCCTTCTCTGTCGTATACGTTAACCTGCCAACTAGTATGCAGAAGTAGGCCATCTGACACCCTCATGATTTTTTTACTTCATCTCCCATTGTCCTCAGTCAACACAGCCAATGGTCAGGGTTTATGGGAACTGTAGTCCCAAACCTTTGGACAATAGCAGGTTCTCTGCCACTGAATTAAGCTGCCTCACTAGTTTTGCACTCTGTACATGGTTTGTGCCATCCTAAATGCCCATCCTTTTTTTCCAAGTAACAAACTGTAAGTTATGGAGTACTAATCCAATCATATGATTGAATGTAGTTCTAAATATCAACATTTATTTTCCGCTCCAGTTGAACTTTAAATGAAAAAGGAAGCCTCTGTAATGCTGATGAGTCCTGCTCTTAAAGACAGTGAACAAATGATTGGTGATTGAAAAGATAAACACACTTCCTTCACTGGGTCTGTATGTTCTGAAACATCACCCAATTGTTATGAGAAACAGCTAAGCCATACACAAATTTTGATGCAGCTCATTATTTGCCCAAGGAATTTATATCAATCAGCCATGGATGGTAGTAATGTCAATTACAAAATCAGTGTTTAATTGTTCTTATTGAGGCCAATTAAATTCTATTTGGAAAACAAATTCAAATTAGTATTTGCATGTAGGATGCATGGGTGTGTGAAATAAAGCCCTAACCTCATTAGAAAATGGGAAGGAATTCAAAATCTCTAATCTCCCTATTATTTGGATTATGCAATGTAATCAAAAGGAGGAAAATATTCCAAAGGTGCCGAAGACTGGCATTAATTCTAGAACTTTGCCCAACATGTTTCAGGATTCCTGTTTTTTCCCCCCTCAAAGGTATGTTCCATTTACAACACCTTTCACAAAGAACAAGAAAGAAGATTTTGCTACCCACCCCTCCGTCTCAGATATGGGCATCCATCCTTTTGTCTGTCTTAGGTTTGGGGAAGAAGGAAATGCCAAAAGGTAAATGTGTTGTCACTGTTTGGGGCAAGTTTGCGCTAATTTTTCCGCTCACCATGAGAAAGAGGACAATCTTCTGTTCCATAACTTCCTGTTTATATAGCTATCCAGTAATCTAGCATGTAGGAGAATATTCCTTGAGTGATCCATGTATATTGCCATCCAACCCGATTCCAATTAAAAACCATTGGGAGAAAAAACAAGCAGGTAACACTGAAAAGACAGAAGTGCTCTTGAAACAGCTCTCACACAGCAGACTTGGGGAACAGGCAAAGTTGTCGGCAAAACATCAGTACAAAAAGGGCAAACGTTATTTTGGTCTGCCTTGATGGAAATACCGCTTCAGAATCATGCTAAGTACTTGCTCTCCTTTACTTAGCACTGGTTAGGCTCAACTGGAGTACTGTGTCCAGTTCTGGGCACCACACCTAGGAAACCTATACACTGGAAAAGGTTCAAAGGAGAGCAATGAAGATGATCAGGGAGTTGGAAGCAAAGCCCTGTTGAAAGAACTGGGCATGTTTAGCCTTAAGACTGAGGGGAGAAATGAAAGCCTTCCTCAAGTGCTTGAATGGCTGTCATAGAAAGGAGGGTCAGGATCATTTCTTGATCATCTCAGCATGCCGTAGATGTGGTAAGAAGCTCAAGCTACAGAAAGCCAGATTCCGACTGCAGGAAAATGTCCTGCTAGAGCAGTATGACAATGGAACCAATTACCTACGGAGGTTATGGGTTTCCCCACGCTGATGCCATTCCAGATGCAGCTGGACAAACATCTGTTGGGGGTGCATTAACGTGGCGTCCTGCATCGAGCAAGGATTGGACCAGATGGGCTTACTGGCCCCTTCCAACTCCAAGATAAGAAGGTTTGGCCTGGATGTTGGATATTTCAAATGCATATTACACTGCATTTGTACCACTCCTGTTTCCCTCTTCCAAGGAACCCAAGCGGTTTAGATAACTTCCTCCACATCATTGTATCCTCACCTACACTCGGAGGTTGGTTAGGCTGGAAGCGACTGACTGGCTCAAAGTCTCCCATTGAGCTTTATGGGTGAGGGGGACTAGAACCAGATCTTCCGAATCCCACTCCAGCACTCTAACCACCATGCTCCACTGGTTCTCCTTTATCCACATGGAGTGGGAATGTTAGGGTTAGTTTCCCCCTGCCCATCTGTCACTTAGACGCACCAACAGCAGGTAAACAGAAAGCTCCTGGAGATAAGGCAATTAACATTTTACCAACCCAGGATGAGGCAAGAATCGAGGGAATCTCTTTTAGTGCTGACTTATGTAACTCATTAAGGGAAGGTTCTTCCTCTGGGTCTGGAGAGTAGCAGGAGCTACATGATGAAGCAATGAAGTTGTTATTCTTTCAACTAGAATAACTTTCGGAGACTGTCAAAGCATTTTATTCTTAGCTTTTCTTTACTGGTCTCTATGAAATGAGCTGCATAAGAAATACCTTTGAGACAAGTAGGAAGCCTGAAACAGATCGGGTAATTATACAAAAGGCATAGCTTCTGCAACGTTTTTAGAGGTTTTCTGTTTGTTCTCTTCTACCCCTCATCCCTTGAAGCGCCAATTAGTATGGGTGCAGGGCTTGTGTTTTCAAGGCAAATCAAAGCTTTGCATACATTCCAATCCTAAAGATACTTGGGAAATACAAGTATACATAGGATCAAGACAAGGACTACTGTTTTGTTTGTACCACAGTTTATTTTATATAAACCTGAGACAAACTTACTCCATGCAGTAAAGTTCCTTCTTAGATCATGGACTGAATACACTTTGACTAGGGTAGTAGCAACATTTCTGCTAGACTAAAAAGTTCTGGGAGCTTTCAGTTCAGCATAGGGCAGAGGTTGTATTTTGGTTTTTTAAAGGGATAACTTCAGCTTATTGGCTTTGGAAAGTTTTACTGACAGCCATATTGAATCTTTATGTATTCAGAGTGGTTGTTTACAATAGGTTTTTGTAGGTAATTGTTGAGACTTATTCCTTGTAAAGTTTTTTTTAATGCAAGAGTGAATGTCCAACTGTTTCTATTAGGCCACTGATTAAAGCTTCTGTATCATAATACATTTGGCTTGTCTTGTAATATGTATTAAAGTAGGCCTATTGGGGATTTTTATTATTCGTGTGTGCCATGTTACTGCAACATGTTTTGATGACGGTTTCTCTGTGCAGCTAATTTATTTTTCCCCTTAACTGTTCTTGGCTGACTTTACAAATAGAACAGGTACAGTGGCCCCATTTGCCTGTAACAAGAAGCTGCCATGGGTGGATGTCCCTGAATTCTGAGTGACCTGGCAACCATGCCAAGAACCCATGCTTGCAGGGTTCTCACAGAATGAGAAGCCATGGCAGCCTGGCTTGCCAAACTGGTGACTGTAGGCTACCTACTGTAGCTAATAAACCATTGTGTGACCCAGGTCATTGTTTTTTTTTTTTTTTACTAACTCTGATAACAGAGCAGGCCTTTCTCAACCTGGTGCCTTCAAGATATTTAGCTGTAACTCCTATCATCCTCATCAAGCATATGGCCATTGTGACAGCTTTTGGGTGCTAAACTCTAAGCTAACTGGAATGTACCAGAGGTTGAGGAGCTCCAGTATAATGCATGCATGTCCACTGTTGTCTACCCACAGTCAGAGGGCTGAAATGCATTGCATCCTTCTAAGACTTGTCTCTTACTCATTAGCAAAGGCTACAGTTCTTTTCTTTTTCAAAGCGGGCAGTAGCTTCCACAACTTGTTATTCCCTCATTCCCTCACCCACTAACATTTATAGAGTACAGAGTAAGGTAGTCTCCAAGGTACTCTTCTTCCATCTGTGCAAGACAAGACAACTGAAAGTAGCAACGACAATGTGTATACAAATTGGGTGTGTTAGGATTGGTGAACTGCATTTCTCATCTGGGTGCAGTGCTCTTGCAGCCCACTTAAAAGTGTTAATGCTGGACACAGAGGAAGGAGGGTGCATTCTACTTATTTACCAGTCTGTTTGCTTACAAAGAAGTCCTTGCACTTGTCTTCAGTTCCTGGTCACCTATGGCTACCAGGCTGGTAACTAAATGCAAGGCTGGTGTAAGTAATGAATGTCACTATGACTGAATAGCCATGAACATGAATACAAACCCAAGCCTCATGTTCTTGTAGCATGACAAGATACACAGTAATATTTCCAACTTGTAAGATTAAAGGGTAAAGGTTTCTTTACTCTTCCACAGACATAAAAAACTGAATGCTGACAGAAACACATTCTAGGCATCCTCTCTGTCTTAGTCTAAAACAAGATTCAAGTTTCCCTAACAGTAGTTGGAGCTGAACGATTCAAGCATTTTGCTGCTATCACAGTTTAAGGTGTTCTTATGTCCTGCTTGTCTGGTTTTCATGTTAGAAAGCTTGTCTCCTTATTCCTGAAGCCCTACTGATCTTTGAGAGTATTTCACACTTTAAGAAGCTAAATAAGTGGTGCAGCCCAGGCTAAAAGGTTCATTCCAAACCAAACTTTAATGGAACCTGCTGTCTAAGATTGAACAAACTGAGGCTCAGAAGAGAGAGAAAACTTCTTTGCAAACACATAGACCAGAAGCCAATCTCATTATACAATGCCCTGATTTGTGTTAGTGTTGAAATGCTGAAAACTAAACATTGGCTGCTTCAATTATCCTCCACTACATGGAAAAAAGGAGTGGCACTGGGATGGGAAGCAAGGCATGACAAGAGTAGGATAAAGACTCTTCTTCACAACATCCTCATGGGTATCTGCCTGCCTACAAACTGTTTCATAGGATACCCCAAATGGTGTTTTAGGGAACAAAAACTGCAGGGACTAAGTGAAGTGACTAAAGCTTCATCTTTCCCAGTAATGTCTATGGGTCTGGTCTGGTGTGCAGTGCCCAAATTCTGAAATGCCAGGGAAAGGGGGTGTTTTTGACTATTACCTTACAGATGCAAACTTCCTGTTCTAGAAAACTTAGAAAGATGATCCTTAAGGCACTGGTTGTAAGACTTAAGAGAGAGATGTGTGCATGAAAACAGCTCAGAATTACATTAAATAACGTTTAGAAGAATCAGTGCAGTGAAATTGATGTGGGAAGTTAAAACGCTTCTTCTCTCCTCTCACGCAGGGCTTTCTCTCATCAATCCTTCTAGCCGCCTGTTATGCTAACACAGGATCCCCAATTGCATGGTCAGGATTGCAGGTGAAGGAAATGGTGATGGCATAACGAGTGCCCCAGTGGACCTTTTCAACATGATGGAGGTTTTCTGAGCCAGATGTGAAGAAGGAAACCCGGCCTGAAAGACAAGAATGCAGAGTCAGGAGAGGAACAGGATGCATACGACTTGCCTGGCTACCAACTCCTAGGCTATCATCAGATGCCTTTCTTGGGACATTTACGAACTCGAGATTCAAATGCCATCGTAAAGTATGAGAGCTGGTTCTCAAAGACCAAAACAATGCTATTTGTGCACTGTAATACGAAAGCTTGATGTGTAGATTAAAAAATAGAGCAGTGTGGCCATACTTGATCCCAGAGGTCAAAGACTTGGTTTTCAGCCAAATTGCAAAGAAAACTCCATGAGCAGAGACCTAGTGAGCAGGACTGCTACGCAGATAATGGTAGAGTTTTTGATAAAGCTCTTTGCCTTTTCAGGATTGAAGCCCTTCAGACCATAACTATTACAAAAGAGATCCTGCCTTGGCTATGATTTATTCTCCTCCATGAACTCCACAGACCAAAATGGCTTCAAATGCAGGGGATACTCCCTCTTCTGCACAAGAGAGGCCTGCAGTAAGAAGCCCTTGTTTGGGGGACGGGACCCCCCCCAACACACACACACACACACACACACACACACACACTGGCTATTGCTTTCCTCTCCTTCGATAATCGTACACGCCCAGAAGAGTGTACTGTGGGATGCCTAGAGCTGGTTTCTGTCATGAACATGCTCACATATTGTGCGCTCTGTCGTCATATACTGCATAACCCACAGTAAAGGTCTGGTAAGGCATGTGATGTGCCCTCTTGCTCATCTCATGAAAGCACAAACATCCTGGTGGCCATGGTGGCGGCAGCTGCTGCAGCTCCACCCCACCACCCCCAGCTGCCTTCCAGATTGCCTCCCAGCCCCAGTAGTGTCCATCAGGGCTGGGTGCCTCGCCTGGCAATTCCAGCAGCCGCCTCGGCATAAAAGCAAGCTTGAAACTGGCTTTGGGATGCCCTGTCGGGATCCTATTTGGGGGGGGGGGGGGCATTTCTGGTTGTTCCTCACCACCACCACCACCACCACCACCCCTGCCTTTGTGAGTCTATGCCTGGGGCCATGGCTAAGAGGGCATCTACAGAGCCAAGCAGGAAGGTGGTGGGGGTCTCAGTGTTAGGACAGGTAGAGGGAGGTCTGGCATTGGGAGAAGGAATGTGGCCGAGGCTGCTGGCAGCTGTGTCACGCTCTGGTTCTTTCCCCACCTGTGGGTTTGATGTTTGCCATGTCAGCCAGCCCACAGGTCCCCAGATGCTGCTTCTCAATGCCACATCAGTGCTGAGTTAAACCTCCCTCCGCCATGACCTGGCTTGTCTAAGTGATACGTGGGTGGGGGAACAGGCAGGAGTTAGTGTCTCCCACTTGTGCCTACCTTGGCACTTGGTTCAGCATCAGGATAAACTTTTGGGCTGGGGAAGGGAGGTTGCTGTGGTCTATAGGAATTCTATTGCCCTCTCCATGAACAACTAGACTGGAGTGTTTGCACCTTGAGTTGGGATAGCAGGACAGACCGCGGATTCTGCTGGTGAACTGCCTACCCTGCAACCCATCAGTCTCCCTACCTGAGCTGATGGAGGTGGTCTCAGATGTGATCTTGAGTCCCCTAAGCCAATGGCCCGATTTCAACATTCATGGTGAGGGCACCCTATCCAGGTTGTCTCAGGACTTCATAGTCACCATGACAACCATGAGACTATACCAACATGTCACTGGCCTTAAGGCATGTGGCAGAGCATACTCTAGACCTGGTCTTCTCAGCCAGATCTGAGCATGGGGGACGTTGACTCAGTCCCTTTGTCATGGTCAGATAACTGCTTGATGAGATTTAGTCTTACAGCAGCTTTTCCCCTCTGCAGGGTAGGGGACCCATTAAGATGATCTGCCCTTGGAGGCTAATGGATCTGGATCTGTTTCTAGAGGGCTCTGGGGGATTTTCCAGCTGATATGGCTGGTGCTCCTGTCGATATCCTTGTGGGATACAGAAATGACCCATGCAGTTGGCACGATCGCTCCTAAGCACCCTCACTGCTGTAGAGCTCATACAGCTCCATAGTATACCCCAGAACTGAGAGTGATGAAAGAACTTAGAGGGCTGGAGTGCAGTTGGAGGGGGACTTCCAGTGAATGCAACAGAAACCTGGCATGTGCTTTACAACTAGGTATATTTTGAGGCAGTGAAGGCAGCAAAGAAAAATACCACACTGCCTCTATTCAATCCTCTCTGTGCCACCCAGTGTAGCTTTTCAGGGTTGTCCAGGGCTTATTATACTCTGGTCCCAGGGACACCTTGGAAAGGCAGGTTGCTTACCTGTAACTGATGTTCTTCGAGTGGCCATCTGTGCAGTCACACATACAGGTGCTGCGCCTGCGCAGTGCCTAGGCCGGAAGATTAAAAAGCTAACGGTTTTTGGCGGGAAAACTCCATTCCCCTCCCCCTTCGTGGTATAAATAGAGCGGAGTGTCCGCCATTTTGTTCAGTCTTGAAGACCGAACGTTCGCCCTCTACAGGTTAAGAATAAAATTAGTTGCAAACGGCACTGAGCCCCAACGGTACCGATGCAAAGTATAGTACGGTACCGAGAACAATATCCACTCACCGGCATATACCATCGGTACCAATGCAAATTACAGCGTGGTACCGAGGCAGTATGTAATGATGGACACCGAGTGGGGCCGGTGGGTGGGTTGTGTGACTGCACAGATGGCCACTCGAAGAACATCAGTTACAGGTAAGCAACCTGCCTTTTTTCATAGTGGCCTCTGTGCATCACACATATGGGTGATTAGCAAGCTTACCCAACTCGGAGGAGGGAGGGGTCGTCAGCAAAGAACGGACGAAAGAACAGCTCTGCCGAAAGAGCAGTCCTGCCTGGCGCGCACATCAAGCTGATGGTGCTTGGCGAAAGTGCATGGCCCTGACCACATTGCAGCTTTACAGATATCTTGGAGCGGGACCCCAGCGGCAAAGGCGGACGAAGTCGCAACAGCTCGTGTGGAGTGACCCCTGGGGGTAAAAGGTAAGTCTATTTTTGATAGTTGATAGGCCAGGACAATAGTCTGGGTGATCCAGTGCGACAGCCTTTGAGGTGTGACTGGAAGTCCTTTGTCATGTTTGGAGTACTTAACAAAGAGTCTGTTCATACGACGGAGGGATTCCGTACGGGAGCGATAGAAAGCCAGGCAGCGGCGAACATCAAGGGTATGTAGAGCCCGCTCTATTGGATTCAACGGCACTGGAAAGAAGGCTGGCAGAACGATATCTTGACTCAAGTGGAATGGTGTAGCCACTTTAGGAAGAAAGGAAGAATCCATACGAAGGACGACCTTTTCCTTATGGAAATTAAGATATGGAGGGTCTATGCGGAGAGCAGAAAGTTCGCTTGCTCTCCAAGCTGATGTCACCGCTATGAGGAAAGCTGTTTTCCAGGACACCAGGCGTAGGTCGCCAGTCGCCAGTGGCTCTAACGGAGATTTGGTAAGTGCTTGGAGTACGACCAAAAGGCTCCAGGTTGGCATAGGCGGGCGAATAGAATACCTTCTGTAACCCCCGAAGGAAACGTCGAAGTAGAGGTTGAAAGAAAACTGAAATCCCTTGAAGCGCACCACAATAGTGTGAAATAGCGGCTACATAAACTTTAACGGATGACGGTTTCAGTCCCAAATGATAAAGTTCCAAGAGAAATTGTAAAATATTGTCAATTGAGGCCATTCCAGGAGAAAAAGAATGTCGTTCTGCAAAGGAGGAAAATCTCTTCCATTTAGCTGCATAAGAGCGATGAGTGGACGGTCTTAGAGCAGATGTGAGAATCGCCTGAATTTCCTGGTCAACAGTCACCGGTAGCGAAGCAGTTGTCATTGAAACCGACGTAGGGGCCGTCGGTACAGTGAAGTGAATACATTCCGGTAGAGGTTTGGATGTCGTCAGTACCGATGCAGCAGAATGACTCAAGTGACCTGCCATGCTGTCAACCTCAAGGCAGTCAGATCCGGATGTCGGATCACTCCGTTTTGCTGCGTTAATAGCTGAGGAATAGACGGGAGGCGAAGAAATGTCCCTTTGGACAGACGAAGAAGGGTGGCGAACCACGGTTGTCTCGGCCACCATGGAGTTATTATTCTTGTGGCATTCTCTTGAGATATCTTCGCTATCACTTTCGTTAGAAGTGGAATTGGGGGAAACGCATAAAAGGCTATGTTGTCCCAGGGGATCCATCGATCCCGATCCTATGCCTGCCCTGGAACAGTATAGGGCACACACTCTGTTGTCGCAAGTGGCAAACAAGTCCAAGTCCGGATAACCCCACAGATGGAAGAGGTCGTAGCATATTTGTCTGTCCATCTCCCATTCGTGCGTTGTTGACATATGTCTGCTCAACATGTCTGCTTTGGTGTTGTCGGTCCCTGCAAGGTGGACTGCTAGAAGCATAATGTCCCTCGGTATGCACCAGTCCCAAATGGCCATCGAGAGACGTGCTAAAGGTGGCGATTTTGTGCTGCCCTGTTTGTTGATGTAGAAGACAGCCGGTATGTTGTCCGATGCAATCTGGACAACTTGTTGGCATAGGTCAGTCTCGAAAGCCCTTAGGGAGTTGAAAATCGCCTGTAGTTCGAGGACGTTGATGTACTTCCTTGCTTCCCATCGGTTCCAAGTTCCCTGAACCCGACGCATCTGTATACTGGGTCTTTGTTGGATGAGGTGTTCAGAACGGGACACCGACAGACAGGTTGCTCAGAATGGTCCACCAAATTAGAGTGTTGAGTATCACAGATGGAATTCGGATCAGTTTGTTAGGAGAATCTCGCTGTGGGCAAAACGACGTGTTGAAAAACAGCTGCATGGTCCGCATCCGTAGTCTGGCATACGGGACAATGGCAACTGTAGCAGCCATGTGCCCCAATAGTCTCTGTATGGATATAGCCGGAACCGTTCCTAGTGTTCGGATTCGATGGATGTGGGCACATAAGGTAGCGCGACGGTCCGGAGGGAGGAAAGCTCTTCCCCGTGTGGAGTCGAGACGTGCCCCGATAAA